CCAAAAATGGGCAGAATATTACTTAATCAACACCAAACTAATCAAATACTAATAAAACAAGATATTTAATCAATACACAATTAAAAAATAAAGAGGAGGGTTTAAATAGTTACCTAACCCTCAGATTCGAGGATTGCATGCGGTTTAAATGATTTAGGAATAGAGCTTCACGATCCCAGAAATGTTTGTTATCAAGTTTTAACAATAAAAGCTTTCCTTTCTTTTCTTTTCTCTCTTTTTCTCCTTTTTTATGACTTTTGGTTTTTGTGTTTTTAATCTATTATCTCTAACGGCTTGTCTCTAATGGCTTAATCTTCTTCAAGGTAACTCACTGGAGTTCCTGGAGAAAACCCTAGCCGCACTCAACTCTTAAAATCTCTAAGTCCAAATTATCAAAAGTCTAGAGAGAAAAAAAGTCCCATTTAAAACACAAAAAGTTGTATTTATGTGGGTAGGGCAACAGAACAAAGCTGCGTCACGCAGGTATCAGCTGCGTGATGGACCTGCGAACTGCGTGACACAACTTACTTTTCGTACACCGCGAGCTGCGTGACGCAGCTTACTTTTCGTACAGTTGCCGCGTATCCATACAAACAGTGCAGACCGTTACACGGGCCTGTCCAAGTAATGTCACCCTGGTTAGAGTTGCGTGACGTGACTATGAGTGCCGTCACGCAACTTATAGCTGCGTGACGCAACCCTAGCGCAAGTCAGACTCCTTGAACCAGTTTGATTCAATTTTTGGTTAAAAACGCTTTTGGTTGACCCGGATTCTTTATTCCACATCCTCATATCCTCATTGGGTTAGGTGGGGGCATAAAATCATGCATCAATAGATAGTAGTCAGTAGCCAATACAAACCTGAACATCTAAACCCTTTAGCTACAACCAAAGAGCCTTTGTAAACAATGCCATGATTAAACAAATTGGTGCCATATCCATCATTATATAAAGTGTCACAGGATATCAAATTCAACCTCACATCTGGCGCATGTTTGACATTCTTAAGTATCAACTTCATACCAAGGTTCCAAAAAAAAGGGGGGGGGGTACCAAGGTTGGTCACCACAGTTACATTGCCAATGCCCACTACTTTGGATACAGATCCATTTCCCATCCGTAAAGTTCCAAAATCACCAGGAGTGTAAGATGTGAAGAATTCTCTCTTTGAAGCAACATGGTGTGCAGCTCCACTGTCAAGTACCCAAAGAACCTCATTGCTGGCAACATTAATCATACTTCCATCATGAACAACAACCAAATCAACTGAAGCAGCAACACTGACACGATCACCATTTTCATCATTGCCATTCTTTTCTTGCTTGCCTTTATTGGGTTTGTTATCCTTTTTCCACTTGTAACAGTACCGTTTGATATGCCCAGACACTTGTAACAGTACCGTTTGATATGCCCAGATTTACCACAATAATGACATTCAAGGCTCTTATACCTTGACTTTGATTTACTCCTACTCTTACTTCTACTGTTGTGATCATGACTTCTACTTTTGCTTCTCCCCCTGTTTTCAGTAACCAAAATATCTGACTGTGATGTGGAAGCACCCTGAGTTCTCCTTCTTACTTTTTCATTCAGAACACCACTCTTCACATACTGCATAGTTACAACACCATTAAGAGCATATTTGTCAAAGATACCCTAAAGTTTTCCCAAGAGTCAGGAAGTGTATTCAACAACCAAAGTCCCATAATGTCCTCATCAAACTTGATCAACAACCAAAGTCCCATAATATCCTCATCAAACTTGACACCCATACTGGATAACTGATCAAAGATACCTTGAAATTCATTTACATGGTCAAGTACTGAGCTCCCTTCTTTGTACTGCAGGCGTATGGCTTACTTAAGTAAGAACAACTTGTTGTTACCAGTTTTAGAAGCATACAAAGATTCTAGCTTTTCCCACAAAGTTTTAGCATGTGTATCATTAACAATATGATTATATACATTATCCTCAACCCATTGCCTAATAAAACCACATACTTGCTGATGCTCAAACTCCCATTCTTCATCAGACTTAGACTCAGGCTTACTAGTAGCAAATACAGGCAAATGTCTTTTAAAAACAAAAGATCTTTTCATCTTTCATTTCCAAGTGTTGATAGTTTGTGGCCATCCAAAACAAATCATTTGTACTTCATATTTACCTCCATAATTTCAAACAAGCAAAAAACTGCTCAATTCAACAAAAATAACTGCAGCTCTGATTTACCAACTTTATGGCGGGAAAGTAACACAAAATAACTTTCACAACAAACTTCCCCACCTTTTGAATGAATTCTATTAGGAGTAACAATGAGCAAACAAATTTTCAAGTAACACAATCTGTCCCAAAATTCATGCACAATCAACCCAAATCATGCACAATCAAAAATAACATTCACCACACGAACACAAATCTTTTTACGTGGAAAACTCCTCCGGTGTGAAGGATAAAAACCACGGGACCTTTCCTCCGGTCCAAGGAAATGAAGTTCACTATCACAAATATTGTCTTACAAATTATAGCAAGCTACAACCACCAAAAATGCAGCTATACCACAAACAATCACAAACAAATGTGTAGCAACACAATGGAGTGATCACAAAACACAGCTGCTGTTCTCAATACATTTAAAAATGTTTTACTCATCCAAAAAATTAAACTGATCAGCCAGAATCAAGAGTTGGATGTTAGGAACAAGCTCACCAAAAATTAGCTCAATCCGACAAAGGATGACTGCTGAAACGCTGAAGAAGATGAAGTTATGCAGAGTTGGAAGCAGAACATGACAGCTTCGGATTCAGAGCCAGAACTCAATCTCTGAACCTCCAAATCAAAATCCCTTCAGTGAGAATTAAGAACAGAGAGCAAAGAACAACATACCCAAAAGTCACAAAGATTCCAACGGTTGGAACTCAACGGTTGGAACTCCGGGAATCTCCAGAACACGATGGCTGGTGCTGGATGGGGCTGTGCAGAAAAATCCCTCTCCTCTCCTCTTCTTTTCTGTTTTTTCTCACACGGTTTTGGATGAATGTGTCGATCACATAGTAGCCAAACATATCAAAATATGGCTGTTAGTTGAGGGGCAAAAATGTAAAACAATAATTAGTTTAATGGATTTCAAAATATGGGCTTTTACCACATAGGAAGGGAACCCAAACCCAACAAACTACTTTCAAAATAATGTTATTTTTTAAAATGCAAAGAAAAGTGGTTAATCATGTCAAAATGGAGGGATAAAATCGTAATTTTTCTAAAAGAAAATTACCTGAATGTAATAGCCAGTATCACCTGTTCCATCAGCATGAAGAGTGGGAGTAATGAGCAAAGCAAACTTATCTTTTATTTTAATTGGATAAATCTCTGTATTTACATCAAGTTTTACATCAAGTGTAATCTGCATTTCGGAGCCTCTCCTATGTGTGCTTCTATTGCGAGAAAAACTACACAGCCGTGTTCAAATTAGCTTTCTAAAATTTACACTGAAAGAAAGAAATAAGTAGAATATGTTTACCTTTTTAATCAACTTTTTTATCTTTATCAAACTTTTTATCCATAGAATCAACCACAATTATGTCCTCCATTTCCTGAAATTTTCTTGGTAACCAAACAAAAATTGGAGAAAAAAACAGAGAGAGAGAGAGAGAAACGAACCACAAAAAAAGAAGGAAACCTGAATATATAAAAATATATATACATATAGATACAGGGAGGGATGAGACGCATAGGGTTTAACCGTTTAGTAGTTTTCTTTCTTACGTATATTAGACATTTGATTGCTGTTAGAACTCTTAAAAATAATAATTAATAAAATCCCACTTAATTAGGCACTTTTTTTATAGAAGAAATTTGGTAAAGTCGGTGCATTATGACTTTTTTAATTTTTTCAAAATATAAAATTAAAATGTTGGTAATATGATAAATTTAGATAAATTTATAAATATTGTAGTAAAATGTAGGAATTTAAACATTATCTAATCTTGGATAAGGAGAAACTATTGGCATATTTAGATATCATCAGGTGGAGTTGATTCATAATTGTTGGTGTATCATAACTGACCTGTAAATGTTTAGGCCTGGGATTGGAAAATATCAGAAATTTTTAAAGGTTCACCAACATGGAACATTTTGGTTGTGGTTGGTATGGTAAGAACTCCTGGAAGCATATTTTCTGGAGACCAAAAAACCACCCGAACATGGCAATTACAATTATTATTTTCCCTTTTCAATTTTGAGAAAATTGGAAAAAATGTTCATCTTATCTGACTTTAATTTTGTTTCTAAGACGTTTCTTTTTGTTTCTGTTTTGATTAAGACGTTTCTTTTTGTTTCTGTTTGATTCCCGAGAAAATGCTGGAAATTTAACTTATTTATCTCTTATAAAATCAATTTATAGATTTTAAGTTGAAAAATAGTAGAAATTTTGTTAATTATCTCCTTAATGTTTCTTTCTGTTTGGCTGCGGAGAGGTTGTAGAAAAGTGAAAAATATTAGTAAAATAGGTTGTTAGTTTACAAATGCTGGAAACTCAACTGCTGAGATTTCCACTTCCTTTTTTTGCTTCTTCTAATTGCTATTGCTGGAAATTAAAGAGATTTTTGTGGGTTGAAGATACTAGAAATTACTCCATAGTGTATACTTTTTAGTATACTAAATACTTTGTTATATGTTTCTGTTTGGTTGTTGAGAAATGCTGATTGATTGTTGGGAAAATGCGTTGAAGTGAAAGAAATTTCAGTCGCATATAGTCTTGGACGGAAGTTGAATTTTATTAGTAGGAAATACTGGAAATTGAATTGTAAATTTTCTCTTTTAACCTCTGCATCCATTTGATAGAAGAAATGTAGAAGAGTAAAGAAATTGAAAATTTGTAAAGAAATTGAAAATACAAATATCAGGATTTAGGATTTTAGAAGTTCAACTGCTATTTGTATTTATTTTTTACTGAGATTACAATGGCGTAAATGTTGGGTTGAAATTTCTTACAATGGCGTAAATGTTGGGTTGAAATTTCTGTTCAGTTTTTGATTGAATTGGCCAATGGAGTCTTACAAACTTTTCCTGAAGAAAATGTAAGCTCAAAAGTTTGATGATTAATACCCACGTTTACAAATTTACTGCACTTGATTAACCCAATCTCACTTTTGCTATGCAAACATTTGTTAATTTGCTCAAATCTAATTTGCATGAAAACTGAATAGAAGCTATACTATGGCAAGACAAATGAGTTCATGCCTTGTAAGTGCAAAGAACACAAATGCACAACAAGAGATTTGCTAAGATGGAACTCCCAGGAATTTTTACGTTTACAAATTTACTGCACTTGATTAACGTAATCTCACTTTTGCTATGCAAACATTTGTTTGCTCAAATCTAATTTGCATGAAAACTGCATAGAAGCTATACTATGGCAAGACAAATGAGTTCATGCCTTGTAAGTGCAAAGAACACAGATGCACAACAAGAGATTTGCTAAGATGGAACTCCCAGGAATTTTTGTGTGAAGGAAACTGTTGGGTTTAGCGAATGTTTGATTACAATCAGATGGTTGGATTCAAGAAAACAATTGAGGTAGTGCACTCATCTTATCGCCACTAAGCTAACTGTTTTTTCTAGTATGATTTTGTGTTTGGTAGTTAGACCGAATGAGGCATATTTAAAATACAACTGCTCCACTATAAAAGTACCTTAAACGATGAAAGAATATTCTCTCTTATCTCTGGTGTTTGACACGACTTTATGATTTTTTTTACTTCTGCTGCCACATTATATACAAAGCAAAGATAACACACTTTTTTTATTTTTTTATTTTTTTATTTTTATTTCTTCTTTCATGTCCTTCCTTCAATAGTTACCTTCTTTTTTAATAGTTACTTAGTTAGCATTGAACTTGAATTTTTTTAACCCTTTCTTTTCTTTAGATTTCTACAAGCGTGGATTTGAAGATTTGCAAATAGGTTCACATAGGGAAATAAGTTCACAGGAAATTTAAGAATGGTGGCTTGTGTAATTATCCTTTCTGCTTGGACTGCATATCCAAGTACATCGAAGTAAAAGTTGAAGGTTTCGCTGGAAACATTGAATGCCCTGGACTGAACTATTTGAAAAATGGTCTGACCGTCTCTGTGATTCCATGGTTTTAATGTTCGAAAGGTTCTACTGTCCGTATCAAGATTGCTCAGCTTTGGTTTTGAATGAATGCAAGTAGAAACTTAAAAAAATAAAGTGTCCTAACTGTAAGAAACAATAGTGTTTTCGGAGCAAGGTTCCATGGCATGCAGGATATGAGTGCAATGAGAGCGGACAATTGAGAGACAGTAATGATATTCTGGTTGGGGAACTTATAGAAGAGAAAAAGTGGACAAGATGTTACAATTGTGGTCACTCTGTTGAGCGAGTCAGTGGGGCGAGTCAGTCGGGTGCAAGAGATTAAAATGCAATTATGCTCTCATTCCTCTTCTTTCTGTGTGTGTATGTGGCGTTTTCCTGTATTAATAAAAATTTGTGATTTACTTTTATTCCTCCATTTTTTCCTTACACAGCAAAATTATTAAATTAGGAAAACACACAGCAAATTATTTACACAAATAATTATATATATTGCATAAAATTATTTCAATCTGATGCTGCTTACTTAAATTATTGATACGTTACGAAGCTACACAGAAAAACTAATGATTTGGTTTGGTTTGATTTGGTCATAAATCCATTGATAAGTGTGTTACTTGTTGGCTCCTGGCTCATAATTTTTTAACAAAGATATTCGGACAGATTATTTTAAAGGACAGGTAAAACGGGAAAGAAGGTGGACAGTGTTTCCTTTAAAGCAGTACCGTTTAGGTTTCCTTTAAGCAGTACCGTTTAGGGCCCACTTTTTCCTTATTTTTTATCTCAAATTCTGCTATTGGCAATATCAATGCCATGCTAGTCCTCATTATTTTGTGCAACGATCTAGCTAAGGCTAAGTTCTTTCATCATTTTGGGGCAGCTTAGCATTGTAAATAAAATGATTGATGAAGTGACACTGATATTAACAGTCAAAAAGAATGTGGAATTGGAAAAATATCTGCATTTAGGCAGTTGTGACGGGTTGAAAAAACTAGGAATCATTATAAATATTACCCCTAATCTATATCTTTGATGTAAATTTGGTTTTCAATGCAGATGCGGAGTTCGATTTTGCCATCAATAAATATTGTGAGGACGGCTTCATTTAGTCCCTGCTAACCCCCGATTTTTTGCCATCAATCTGCCATGCTTTTTTTCTGGTGGTGATGATTTACTTTCTGCTTTCTTACTATTCCATCAAGTTAAAAACTGCCTGTGGCTGAAATAGCCCAATGGGTTACAGAAGTTTCTCCATTGAGCTTTGGTACATTACATGGTGGCATTTAGCTAATAGTTTTGTACATGATGCTTTTCTATTATTCAAGAAGTTAGAATTACTACTAATACCCCCTTTAATTATTATTTAGCATTGCAGTTGTGATAATGCATACACATTTCCACTATATAATGATTGACCATGCTATAAGGTGGCTCTCCTTGTGCTGTTAGAATTATTATTAGCATTGCAGTTGTGATATGCATACACATCCACTTATATAATGATTGACCATGCTATAAGGTAGCCTCTCCTTGTGCTTGTAGAGCTAAATCAGATGGCAATCTAAGGTTGCCTTTGTTATATTTCTGCATAGGAAGTTCTACATGGGATATAATTTCTTTTCTTGAATTTTTTTTATATTTAATTTTTTTTTTTTTTTGATAAGAGAAAATTATGATGGATTCATTGTGATGGCGAGACATCTTTGTTATGCATTTGTATGTATTTTTAAGGCTTCGTTTGTTTTCGTAAAATAACTTACAAGAAAACATTTTTCATAATTTTCAGTTATTTGGGATGTTCAAGAAAATAAGTTAACGGAAAATATTTTCCTGGTTAAAAGAACATTAAGTCATTTTTAAAGAAAATGACTTCCCATTTTTAAGACAAAAAAAATATTTTTTGGACATTGATAAATTTATTATAACTTTATAAATGCATATTTTTTAATTTATTAATCATCGGTAATCACTACCATCAATCATCATTTGCTACCACCAGTCATCGGTGATTTTCATGATTTACCATTATTTTTGTTTTTTTTCTCATATTTAATAATAAAATTTTTAGAATACAAAATTTTTATTATTAGAAATATTTTCACGGTGTTATGAGTTAAAGGTTTTAAAATTTTTCGAAGGTAAAATTATTTTTCGGAAATAAATGGAATCTAAGCCAAGATTTCAGGACTCTCCTCTCTAATATCCTTCCCACTAAATGGGATCAAAGCTATTCCACTAATCACCAACCAATTTAGAGCAATTTAGAGAACCCAGGGCTTAAGAGCCCGCTGTTGAAATTTAAACTGTCTATTCTACTAATGGAGATGGAATTCGTCCAAGCATAGATTTTCACATGAACACTTTGGTCTATCAATTTCATTTTCTATGCTTTATGACCCCCGCAATGGCATGTTTTTAGGTTATCACTTGAGGATTTTTATACGAAACTCACTTTCTTACACAAGTTATATGCACAGATTTGTTACTAATTTTTGAAGAGAATTGGAAATTAAGCTATTGAATTTGGCTTTCAATTGCAAATACCCCAATTATTGTTTGACAAATCAAGCCTTGTGGCTATTTTTACAAAAGCTTGAAATTCAAATTCCCCAAAAATCCACATTACTGATCCTCGCTTTCTTTCAGATTCTTCTTCCTTTGCTTCTTCTTTCTCCTTTCCTTTTTTTTTTTTTTTTTTTTTTTTTTTTTTTTTTTTTTTTTTTTTTTTTTTCCTTTTTGTCACTTCCTAGTGAAACAACATTTCTGACTCCATTAATACGGCTTATAGCCATACAAAATAAAATAAAATATTTATCATATTAATCCAAAATTACCATGAAATTATTCGTCATATGGATAGCGAAAGCCCCTAAAAAAAAAAGGAAAAAAAACAAGTCTGAGTTGATTCTTGTAAAAGAAAAAAATCAATAGCGTAATGCATAAATTTGATCATGTACTATCAAAGATTATCCTTATGCCCCATGAATTTTACAGGGAGCACATCATGATACTGTATTTTCATATTTCAATAGTAGCTATGTCTCTCTCCAAAATGAAATGTGAAAGTGTAGGATCATTATTGAACATCTATAAAAATATTTTATTTTGGCAAATGACATAGTTATTATTGAAAAGTGAAATGTAAGGTTCTAATTGATTTGAACAGTTCAGAGGGCTATAAGGATAATCGAGTCAAAATTCAAGATGAAATTTACGCATTTAGCCAAAAATTAATTTTTACGTTCAGCATGGCTGAAACAATTGTCTAAGTAGCTTACCATCTATAGTAATCAATGTAAGAACCAAATTTCCTTAACTCAGCCTGGCTGACAATCTTATCCTTATCCTCATCAAATTTCCTTAAAATATTCCTTAATATCTCATCATTCAACTTATTAAGCCTGTGCCTCCTCAATTCTTGTTTGATTAACATTTTCCTGCTAATAATAGCATCGATGGCTTGGCTTTCAATAGGCATGCACATGTCGATGGCCTTGGCTTTCAATAGGCATGCACCATGGAATGCAATGTCAGCAAATTTCAAAACTATTTTTCATGGACACTTTCATAGTACAATGACCTCTCTTCTTATATCTTGGCGGGGGCAATATCACAATGATGATTAAGCCGCTGCTACATTCGGAACCGATCTAAGGCCCAAAAAATTGTTCACCATTTTCCGTCTAATGGCTTCGGAAAAGCAACGACTTATGAAAACATCATAATTGCATTTCATAACACTTATAGCTAAACTGAGCTACCCTACCCTGCAGAAGTTACAGAGTATTGGTAATGTAATCTGAAGGGAAACATAGAAATGCGTAGAGAATGTGCACAGAAGAATTGTTGGCAAGAATTCATTGTGAGATGGCGTTCCGAATAGCAATTCGTAACAATCATATGAAAAGACCATATGAGACTTTTTGGCAGTTCTTGCATTTATATGTTTTTGGGAAGTCATAATGATTAGGTTTAACACTTCTCAGAAAAGGAGGACAGTCACTTACTTTTGAAGCAGACTCTGCACAAACTTTGTGAAGGTTAAATTCATCGCAATCTTCGCATTTATAGGAAGTGCCATCACAGGGTCTTGAGCATCTTCTACATTCAAATTCAATGTTTTTCTGCTGGTCATAAAAGTTCAACGCATGCAAGTGATCATTTGTCGGTTGTCTGATGTTGCTTTTTTCCAGGTTCTCAGTCTCCATTGCATCATCTTCATCCTTTTTCTTCAGTAAAATGAACATTTCAGGCACAATTTTCTGCAGATCAAGTGAATTTTTATCAACTCTAATCTTTGGGACTCGCTCAATATCATAACCGCGATTATTATTATTCTGGGATCCGCATTCCATGATGATCAAATGAGCTTTTCTTGAACTTGCCAATCCTACCAATTTTTTGAGATGAGTACTGTGGGAGGGCGCAAGATTGAGGACAAGATTGATATTCAAATCGAGTTGGGTTGAAGTGATTTGACAAACAGTTTCGAAAGGTAAGTTGCTTGTTAATTCATCAGGGAGTTGGGTTGGTGCGATTAAGTTTAGAAGGGCTCTGGTGATATCATTTTGATCAATGAGAGGGTATTTCAGAAATGAAGCTAATTTGGCAGCAACTGTATCATTGGATTTTGAATCACAAAACTGTATCATTGGATTACTGTATCATTGGATTTTGAATCATCTATTACTGCTATGATCAATGGGGATTTTAATTTTAATTCTTCCATAATAATTTCCTCTTTTCTGGAAAAATATCCTATGAAACAGAAAGAACTCAAACATTCTAGCTATTTATCATTCTTTTTCTCCAAAAATGGAACCTAAATATTACGAATTCTCATCGCTAATTAAGGCATATTGAGGCAATAGGAAATTCCAAACTTGTGAAAAGTTTAATTGAGTAAAAAGCTAAGAGCATAGCAATTCCAAGCTTGTATGAAGTTTAACTGAGAAATAAGCAAAGAAATTCCCTTTAAGATAGAACCGATAACACAAATGTTTTCACAAATCTAGACTAATTAAGGGACTATATATGCAATTAAAGTTCTAATCCAACTTCCTCATACAAAGGTAATACTTGTGATCAAGCTGAAACTCTGTAACATAATCTGGATTTCCCTTCATATCCAAAAGGAGACCTCCAAATGAAATGAATAATTCCCTATGTCCAATAATTCCCTATGTCCAACAATAAAAAAAATTAAAAAATAAATTAAAAATAAAAAATCAAATGAATAAATTAAAAAAAAAAAAAATCTAGCTTTGAGCACTTGCGCTTTAACATTAGCTCGTGAACCTTCTTCTGTTATTTTGTATAATTTCCCATACATAATGTACTCATACTTATCTGAAATTGATCCTTCCTTGTCCTAATTAAACAGAACAAGTGAAATTTTATTATTTATATCATGTTAGTTGGAAATGGAAGATTTGAAAAAGAAAAGGAGAAGTTACATTTTTGTCCCTAAGTTTTGAAAAAGAAAAGGAGAAGTTACATTTTTGTCCCTAAGTTTTAGCATAATTAACACTATGTCCCTTGCATTTTAAAATTACCTTATTTTATCCTTCATTATTTGAGGTTTAACTACTTTATTAAAATTAGCAGGATTAACCTTATATATATAAAAAATTAAAAGAAAAAAATTGCATTTTTGTTCTTATGTTTTGACATAATTAACTTATTTCTACTGTATCATTAAGTAAAGGTGCCGTCGCTGAAATAGCCAATGGGTACAGGAGTTTCTCCATTGAGCTTTGGTACATATATAGATGGTGGCATTTAGCTAATAGTTTTGTACATGATGCTTTTCTATTACTTCAAGAAAGTAGAATTACTAGAAATTACCCCTTTAATTATTATTAGCATTGCAGTTGTGATATGCATACACATCCACTTATAAAATGATTGACCATGCTATAAGGTAGCCTCTTGTCACGGAGATAAGTTTTTACTTGCCTATCCGCGCTGCACTTAGTCACCCTTGAGGCTTTAGGATGCGCTAAATAAGCCTTGGAGTTGTGTTGGAGAGAAAATGTGAGCTAAGTAGAGAAGAGAACACAAGAGAGCTTGTAAGAACTCTTATTGCTCAAATGCTTTGTATTTGCTTGGATGATTTACAATTGAGGTGAGGGGTGGTATTTATAGCCATTTCCACCTCCCTCCAATTGTACGCTAAGATTTGCCTTACAAATATGAACGGTCTTAGATTCCATGGGAGAATCTAGAATTATGTAGATATTTAACAAAATATCTTTTGGTGGAGTAATGTGGAGTTTTCCTAGGAATGCGGGCTTGGGACCTCCACTTTGGGTCTAGAGGCTTCTCAAGCTTTTGGCCACATTATTGGGGCTAGAGGCTTCTCAAGCTTTGGCACATTATGGCAGCCCAATTTGCACCCTTCTAAGCCTTGCTTATAAATTGTGGAGGCTGCCTTTGCAATTCTGCTTGCTTGTTGTGCGGGGCGTAACACCCTCCCCCACTCAATCTCGCGACGCCCTCGTCGCGTCATGAACCTCGTACTCTTTTATCTTGTCCTTGAACTGCCAAAGAGTATCTTCATGCTCCCAGCTAGCTTCGGACTCGGGCAAGTTCTTCCACTTGATCAAGTACTCGCAGTAGTTTGGCACTCCGCATCGCCGTACTATTCGTGAGTTAAGTATGCTGTCAACCTCCTTGTTAAATTCAGTAACAATAGCAGTTGGTGCTCGAGTAGACTCGCCCTACTTGGATCCTCATCATCTGTATGATAAGGTTTTAACATGCTAACATGGAAGACATTATGAATCTTCAACTTGGGCAGCAGTTCAACTTGATAAGCGGCCTTCCCTACTCGTTTGATGATGGGGAATGGTCCCTCATACTTCCTCACTAACCCTTTATACACCTTGCGCAATGACATGAATTGGTTAGGAAGGAGTTTAATCAGCACCTTATCTCCCTCAGCATACTCTCTTGGTTGCCGCTTAGTGTAGGCCCATTTCTTCATTCGTCAAGCAGCCTTATCGAGACAAGCACGAGTCTCATCAGCTTCTTCATGCCATTCCCTCGCAAACTTGTGAGCTGTTGGATTTGTGCCGGCATATGAAGCTGCGATTGCATTAGGAATGAGGGGCTGTTGTCCCATAATGATCCCAAAGGGACTTTTGCCCGTGGATTCACTCCTTTGGAGGTTGTATGAGAATTGGGCAATGTCATGTAACTTGGCCCAATCTCGCTGATGGGCACTAACATAATGTCGGAGATACAGCTCCAGCAATGCATTGACACGCTCAGTTTGCCCATCTCCAGCAATTGCATTGAACACGCTCAGTTTGCCCATCACTTTGGGGATGGAAGCTTATTGAGAAGTTCAAGTCTGTCCCCATTAGCTTGAACAATTTCTCGCCAAAACTTGCCAGTTGGAAGCTCGCTGATGGGCACTAACATAATGTCGGAGATACAGCTCCAGCAATGCATTGACACGCTCAGTTTGCCCATCACTTTGGGGATGGAAGCTAGTTGAGAAGTTCAAGTCTGTCCCCATTAGCTTGAACAATTCTCGCCAAAACTTGCCAGTGAAGCGGGGGTCTTGATCGCTTATGATATTTTGAGGAAGTCCCCATAACTTTACCACGTTGTTGAAGAACATACGGGCTGCTTCATCAACCTTACAATCGGCTGATATGGGAATAAAGGTAGCATACTTGCTAAATTGATCAATAACCACCATGATGCTACCATATCCCTCTGACTTTGGTAGTGCGACGATGAAATCTATCGAGACACTATCCCAAGGTCGCTCCGCTACGGGAAGTGGTTCTAGTAAACCCGTGGGAGGTTGTTGTTCTACCTTTTCTTGTTGACAGACGAGGCAAGTCTTGCCATATGTCTCGACGTCATCTTGCATCCTCGGCCAGTAGTAGTAGGCTCTTACTAAGGCTAGAGTACGTGTCTCACCTGGATGTCCAGCCCATTTTGAATCGTGGGACTCCTTGAGGATTTCTTTTGCGCAAATTCCCCCTTTTCGACACAAAGACTCGATTGCCATGAGTATAAAGTACCCCATCTTGTTCCCAAAATCTTCGAGTCTTACCTTCTTTTGCTAGTTTGAGCAAGTTTCCAGCAAAGGCATCATGTTGCATCCCTTCTCGGATGCAATCTAGGAAGTCACTTTGTGGGGTGCTAGCACTAATGTTGGCTAGCTCTGCTTTGCGACTCAGCGCATCGGCAACAACGTTGGCCTTCCCTGGCTTGTACTTAAGCTGATAATCGAACTCTGCCAAGAAATCTTGCCACCGGGCTTGCTTGGGACTCAACTTCTTTTGAGTTTGAAAGTAGCTAGTAGCTACGTTGTCCATCTTGACCACGAACTTACTGCCAAGCAAGTAGTGTCGCCATGTTCGTAAGCAATGAGCTATGGCTGTCATTTCTTTCTCTTAGACGGTGTACCGACGTTCGGTATCGTTTAACTTTCGACTTTCGTAGGCGATGGGATGGCCTTCTTGCATTAGTACCCCACCAATAGCATAATCCGAGGCATCAGTGTGTACCTCGAAAGGCTTTGTATGGTCAGGCAGCACCATGACAGGCTCTTCGGATTCCATCTGCTTTAATTCTTCGAAGGCATCCTAGCATTGTGAAGACCAATGCCAAGAACAATTTTTCTTAAGCAGATTGGTCAAGGGTGCCGCAATGGCTGAATATCCCTTTATGAAGCGGCGGTAGTAGTTTACCAGGCCTAAGAAGGATCTTAGCTCGGGGATGCTTGATGGTGGTTGCCATTCTTGAATAGCCTTCACCTTTGTTGGATCCATCATTAGCTTGCCCTCCTTGATCCGATGCCCATGAAATTCTACTTCTTGTTGAGCGAAGCAACACTTTTCCACCTTTACATAGAGCTCATTTTCTCAGAGGACTTGGAAGACTTGCTTGAGGTATTGCACATGCTCTTCGAGAGAAGTGTTATACACTACAATGTCGTCTAAGTAGACCACCACGAATTTGTCGAGGAAAGGGTGGAACAGTTTGTTCATAAGAGTACAGAATGTGGTCGGGGCATTAGTCGAACCGAAGGGCATTACTAGGAATTCAAATGCGCCATACGGAGTTACACAAGTCGTCTTGGGCTCATCTCTTGCCGCGATCTGCACTTGATAGTAACCCAACCGCAAGTCCAGCTTTGAGAACCATCGTGCATTCCCCAATTGATTGAAGAGATTAGCTATCAAAGGTATTGGGTATTTGTTTTTTATAGTGATCTTGTTTAAGGCCCGATAATCTATACACATTCGGAAAGAGCCATCCTTCTTCTTTTGGAAGAGGACTGGTGCGCCGTAGGGAGCCTTGGAGGGTTGGATGTAGCCGGAATCAATAAGGTCTTGGAGTTGTTTTCTCAGTTCTTCCAACTCCGGAGGGGACATGCGATAAGGAGCCATAGTTGGTGGCTTGGTGCCAGGCTCCAACTCAATTTGATGATTAATCTCCCTTCTAGGAGGGAGCTTTTTTGGCAATTAGGGAGGCATGACATCCTTATATTCATCCAAGACTGCTTGCACACAATCGGGCAAAGACTGTTTAGGGTTTGTTACTTCTTCACCCTCATTTAGTTCCCTTATTGATGCTATGAAGTTTTCGACTTTGCTTAACCCCCTCTTAAATTGCATAGCATAGATCGTAGATGGTGATTTCTCTATGCACTTTAATGGGACAATGCATGGCCTCTCTCCTTCAAGTATAATTAGGGAACTTGGATAAGGGAAAAGGAGTGCGCATACCTTGCAGAAGAATGTTAGCCCTAATACGATGTCAAAATCGTCCATGGGCACGACAATGAAGTCTAGC